AATTATTTATAAATATTTATAAATAATATTTATAAATAATATTTATAAATTATTTATAAATAATACAGTGTATTATTTCTAATACAGTGCTTGTATTAATAAAATCAATCAATAAAGAGATGTTATTGTGATGCACATCTTGTAGTGCTTTACCTATATTTTCTTCTATATATTTTATAGTTTCAAGTTTTATGTCCAATTCTCTTATCCATTTTGAGTTGATTTTTATGCACAGTGAGAGGTAGTGGTCTAGTTTCATTTTTTTGCATGTGGCGGTCCAGTTTTCCCAGCACCATTTATTGAACAAACTGCCCATGTTTCATTGCATGTTCTTTGCAACTTTGTCAAAAATAAGTTGTCCATATAAGTGTGGTTTTATTTCTGGGCTCTCTATTCCGTTCCATTGGTTTGTGTGTCTGTTTTTGAAATTCTCGGAATAGAAGGAACATAGCTTAACATGATAAAAGCCATATACGACAAACCCACTGCCAATATTATTTTCTTTTTTTTTTTAAATAATAAATTTTATTTTTATATTCCCCCATACAACTGCACATGCCCCATTCTGACCCCAATCCCTCCCCTCCCGGCCCCCACCCCCCAAAAAGTGTCTCTGGTTCATAGTTTTTTGTTGATTTTGATTTTCACTTTCTTATAGTTATTCATTTTCCTGATCCCTTATTTAAGTTTTCTAGATTCCTGCTATGAGTGAGACCATCCAGTATTTTTCTTTTTCTTTTTGGCTTATTTCGCTGAGCATGATCCCTTCCAGCGCCATCCATGTTGCTGCAAATTGCATGTGTTTATCTTTTTTGAATGCTGAGTAATATTCCATGGTATATATGTACCACATCTTCTTGATCCAGTCATCTATTTTTGGGCATTTGGGCTGTTTCCAAAGCTTAGCTATTGTAAATAGTGCTGCTATAAACATAGGGGTGCAGGTGTTCTTTGGAATTGATGTTTGTGTCCTTTGGGTAAATACCTAGGAGTGGAATTGCTGGATCATATGGAAACTCTATGTTTAGTAGGTCCAGAAATCTCCACACAGCTCTCCATAGTGGTTGGACCAGTTTGCATTCCCACCAACAGTGCAGGAGAGTTCCTTTTTCTCCACACCCTCGCCAACATTTGTTGTTGCTAGTTTTTTTAATATGTGCCATTCTCACTGGTGTAAGATGGTATCTCATGGTAGTTTTGATTTGCATTTCCCTGATTACAAGTGATGTTGAACATTTTTTCATATGTCTGTTGGCCATTTGCATTTCCTCTTCAGAGAAGTTTCTTTTTAGCTCTTCTGCCCATTTTTTGACTGGGTTATTTTCTTTGTTGTTGTTGAGTCTCATCAGCTCTTTGCAGATTTTTGTTATCAGTCTTTTATCATTAGTGTTGGGTGCAAAAATGTTCTCCCAGTTGGTGGGGTTTCTCTTTGTTTTTGTTATTGTCTCTTTTGCTGTGCAGAAGCTCTTTAATTTGATGTAGTCCCAGTTGTTTATCTTTGCCTTCACTATCAATGCTTTGGGTGATGTGTCTGTAAAGATGTCTTTGATATGCAAATCACGTAGTGTTTCACCTATATTTCCTTCTATGTATTTTATGGTTTCAGGTCTTATGTCTAGTTCTTTAATCCATTTTGAGTTGATTTTTGTGTATGGTGTGAGGTAGTGGTCAAGCTTCATTCTTTTGCATGTAGCAACCCAGTTTTCCCAGCACCATTTATTGAACAAACTTTCTTTGCTCCAATACATAGTCTTTGCTCCTTTGTCAAAAATTAGTTGACCATAAATCTGTGGGTTTATTTCTGGATTTTCTATTCGATTCCATTGGTCTGTATGTCTGTTCTTCTTCCAATACCATGCAGTTTTGATGATTATGGCTTTGTAGTATAGTTTGAAGTCTGGGAGTGTGATGCCTCCATTTCCTTCTTTTTTTTTTTCAGTAGAGCTTTGGCTATTCGGGGTTTTTGGTGATTCCATATGAATTTCATCAATAATTGTTCTATTTCTTTGAAGAATGACATTGAAATTTTGATTGGAATAGCATTGAATCGGTATATTGCTTTTGGTAGGATGGCCATTTTAATAATGTTTATTCTTCCAATCCATGAGCAGGGGATGTCTTTCCATTTCTTTGTGTCTTCTTCTATTTCTTTTAACAGTGTTTTATAATTTTCTTTGTGTAGGTCCTTTACCTCTTTTGTTAGATTTATTCCCAAATATTTGATTTTTTTTGTTTCGATAATAAAAGGGATGTTTTTTTTTTATTTCTTCTTCTTCAGATTTATTGTTTGTGTATAGGAAGGCTACTGACTTTTGCGTGTTGATTTTGTATCCTGCCACTTTACTGAATTGATTGATGAGTTGAATTAGTTTTTCTGTGGAGTTTTTGGGGTTCTCTATGTATATTATCATATCATCTGCAAATAGTGATAGTTTGACTTCTTCTTTTCCTATTTGGATTCCTTGTATGTCTTTCTCTTGTCTTATTGCTCTGACTGCCAATATTATTTTCAATGGCGAAAAGCTGAAGGCCTTTCCTTTAAGATCAGGAACAAGACAAGGTTGTCCTCTCTCACGACTGCTCTTCAATATTATACTGGAGGTTCTAGCCAGGGCAATAAGACAAGAGGAAGACATACAAGGAATCCAAATAGGGAAAGAAGAAGTAAAACTATCACTATTTGCAGACGATATGATAATATATGTAGACAACCCTAAGAACTCCACAGAAAATCTACTCGAAATAATCAACCAGTTCATAAAGGAACAGGATAAAAAATCAACATGCAAAAATCAGTAGCCTTCCTATACACAAACAATCAATCTGAAGAAGAAGAAATCAAGAAAATCATCCCTTTTATAATTGAAACAAAAAAAAATCAAATACTTGGGAATAAACCTAACAAAAGCAGTAAATGACCTATACAAAGAAAATTATAAAACACTGTTAAAAGAAATAGAAGAAGACACAAAGAAATGGAGAGACATCCCCTGCTCATGGATTGGAAGAATTAATATTATTAAAATGTTCATCCTACTAAAAGCAATATACAGATTCAGTGCTATTCCAATAAAAATCTCAATGACATTCTTCAAAGAAATAGAACAAATACTGATGAAATTCAAATGGAACCACAAAAAATCACAAATAGCCAAAGCCCTACTGATGAGAACAAAAGAGAAAGGAGGTATCACACTTCCAAACTTCAAGCTATACTACAAAGCCATAACAATTAAAACAGTTTGGTTTGGATCAACTTATTAAATCTTTTTATATGGATTAATGTATTTGTGACTCTTTTCTCTGACATGAGTTCAAAGTTTAAATATAATGGTTTTATTTTGTTGAAGACTTTATTACAAGAAAATTCACATAAAATGCAGTATTCAACCATAAGTCATATGAAATCATTAATTATCTTAAAGTCATTACTAGAAGAATACTAAATGATATAGGATAATGGGCCATCTAAATTATTTGAAAGAATATAAAGAGAAGGAAAAATGCAATTATCCCAATAAACCTGCAAAGTAAAAGTAAATATATAAAAGAGAAAGCCACATGACATGACAAATAGATAACATGTATTTTATTTGTAAACCCAGGCTGGTAAGTGCATTGGTTTTGTTACCAGAAAAATATGTGCACAACAATAGAATAGAACCCATATGTGATGTGCAAATTATATGGAAAAAAATTTGCCAAAGCAAGGACATACACCCCTAGGTTATGATTGGATAAAAATCTAATCACGGTAATTATGTACAGTACTCTAGATTTATTTCATTGCATGTTTAGCAATAGCAGACTTTACGGTTATCTTTACTGAAGATGAAAGCAGAACAATTTGCTGATCTTAGAACTGCTTTAAATGGATTTCCAATCATGTATAATAAAAGGTATACAGATCAGTATTTATATGAATCAAGAATAATGTATCATTTCATTTCAGAGCAATGTGCTACCTTTGAAATGCCAATGTTTACCCCATTATATTAATGTTCAAGCCAGGGAATTCCTCCAAATTATGCTCATACCATCATCCCATTTTCTTAATCAACATTGATTGCAAAATTCTTGCTAATTGACTCAATTGTGTTATGCCTGTCTTGACTCATCCAAATCAAACAGCGCTCATTAAAATTCAAGTTTCCTGTAATAACATCAGATTATACACTAATATGATCCATTTGCTTAGAGATAAACTGGATCAAACTAATATTTTGTACATGCAAATAAGTGAATGTGGTCAGTGGGTGTAGAGGTTTTAGTGTAAAATTAGTTAATAAAAATGGCATTTTCATTTTGTTCATAATTCCAGTTATTCTTGGGAAAGATGCATGTGATCAACAATAAAAAGAGTTGAAATTATGTATTTGATTATTTTAATAGTTAAAAGGGATTTTTTTTTAACAAAACTAGGATCTTTTGTATGATTGATTTTAATCTTGAAATTGATTTTAATCTTGAAATTGCCCAGCAGGTCATATACTGATTTATTCTTTCAATTTCCCAGTCCCTTTTCCAAAATTTTCCCAGCACTGTCCTGTTTCTGTGGACTTTTTTCTAAGGACATAAAGCAACTGCTGCTATTGTTGATCCATAGCTGGAGCCAAAATGTGAGAAGGTATAGAAAGAGAAAAAAAGTAGACAGCTAGACTTTGGCCTGACCATCAGGATCTGTGCTCCAGAGAAAAGAGACAGAAAGGTTTCCACTCCGTGGACTTGGCTTCTGCAGGCTCCCATTGCTGCTTTGCTGCCACAATTACTACGTCTGCAGGATTACCTAGAGTCTATAGGATGAGTGACCAATGAATAAAGAAAAAAAAAGTTTATTTCCTTTTTCTCCCTCTGAGTTTTAAATAACATACTTTTCAGGCTACAGCGAAACAGTTTTCCTGTTTTGTTTTGTTTGTTGTTGTTTGTGCCACAGTGCTAATCTGAGATTCCCCACAGAGTAAAGTTCAGATCAGGGAATACTAATGGATATAGAAACTCACCACTAGGTTGGAGATACTTTGATTTATGGTGCTCTATTTCAATCCTCCTGTTGCTGTTTACATTGCAGACTCCTCAAAGAGCTGTGCCATGCATTCTGCCCAGGTTTTATTGAGTTCTATAGGTGAGAAAGGGATGCAATAACTTCATCTTACACAAAACTGGAAATTTCATGGTTATATATATTTTTTCATTATATTGCTTTACAAGTAACAAATGTATCACTTTTATAACTGGAAACATAGGTATAAAAAAACTTTGGTTTTAAAACCATATAAACCTGACACTAACACTGGAAGCTCAGCTGTATGTGAAATTGGCAAGTTTTTTAGTATGCTAAGAATTGTGTTTTTCTACATTAAATCTAGTCAGAAAATGCAGAATTTATTTTTCACATATGTTAATGCTATTTATACAACAATTAAAATTGTATTTTCACTGACATTTGTATAAGTAGATACTAAGATATAATTACATGCCTGTCTTTAGATTGAAAATTTAAAGGTTTATACATATAGAAAATCTCTTATATAAATTACAAGTTACTCAAAATAACAAATATGCAAAAGCCACATATATCATGTAAATAATACTTTTAATATATTTTCAGGTCTTATTAACCAATACCACTATTCTTGTATTCCTTTTAAAAATGTTAATTCCTTATATCCCATAATAAAGTGGGCAAATTTACTAATATAATACTAATGTGAAATACTGAAACTAAAAGCATGACTTCAAAGTGTAACAATTTAACCCAAATCCCATTTGTAGTCACAAAGCATATGGAGTCTAGCATCTCATTGCCACACATCAGACTAAAGTACATGGACTTTTGTAGGTGACAGCTTACTGTTTGATATGTATCAACTAGTCAGTGATAAAATACCTATGTGTTTTCCATAAATATAACTTTTTAAAAGATTTATTTATGCATATAAGAACTGGGTTAGTATAGGGTGAGGGGGGATGAGAGGACTCACCAGAGACAGAGTAGGGGACAGAACAGGCAGATTGACTGAAAATACATTGCTGAGGGGAGCAGCAGGTGAGAGGGAGAAGTCTGCCATGCCATGTGGCTAGCTCCCTGGCCGGGATCAAACTCATGCTGCAGTGGCTGGGGATAACTTCATAGGGCCACCAGGGAGGCCCAATATAACTTATAATATTTTTGCAGATGGTGCTTATTGTTACTTATTTTAGAGACTCTCAATATTCAAACATTCCAGTAAGAATATAAAATCATAAGTTAAAAATTATTTTTCAAATGGCAATTTTATAATTTTTGGCAAGGATTGGTGTTTCATCATTTAGACACATCAGGTACTGCACTGCCATTATCACCAAATTTATATTGGAATTGTTTAGAATAATGGAAAAATGACAAAGTGCCAGTCAGAAACTGTATTTTAGGATAGTGAAAAAGATTCAGTATATGCTATTGGCTTGATGGAAGAAGAGGGAACAATTTAGAAATGTTACGTTCTTTTTCCTCTTTGCTTTGCTAACATTGGCAATTGAATTTAGGTTTCTTATTCTATGGAGTATTCCCTGTAGTCTCTTTCTCAAATATGACAATTGGTTGCATTTTTAAATTTTGTGAATACAAAACTTTCAATACTATTTATTGAATGTGGATATATGTCTTTGGCAAATACAGTGAATGATTATATTCTTAAATTTGCAAAAGAAAATTGTGAGGTTTAAATTTAAATGTTACTATTTTATAGACTTAGTAACTAGAAACATTCCTTTGCACTCAGATCAAATATGTGTATATTTAAAGTCTACTTCCTATAATTATAAACCTTGGAAGCATAAGTTGTACTGTGTAAAACTCATCTATGTCAAGACAATTTAGAAAATTGTTCTCAGAGATGAGTTTTCCTTTAAGACTATACTTCATTAATCTGTGGCTCTTTCCTTTTAAACACACATATGTGCATATTTTTATCTTAGAAACATACATGTGAGTGGATAATGTTGAATGACACAAATGCAAAGCACAAGTGTAACCGACAGACTTTCACCAGTCCTATCCTAGTTTTGTACTCCCAAAATCAGGCAACACATTTTTTGATGATTCTACAATTAGTTTCCCCACCATTTAAAATTTTGTATTTAACAATATTATTTCCACTTTAGGTATTTTGTATTCAATTCCTCTTGTGACAGTTCAGATTTAATGTCCTTACAACACTATCGTATTTCCTGGTTTAGAGAGAAGTCCATTCCCTTTTTTTGCAGAACATTGCAAAAGCAACTGTATTTATCCTTTGATGAGTAATTTTGTACTGCAAGGGTCTATTTTTCCTCAAGCATCATATTTCCAAAAATGAACAGCTGTGCTGATGTTTTGGTATTAAAATTGGTTTGGATTGATTTATTCCTATTGAATTCTGGAGGTGGGGCCTAATACTAAAATATGTTACATGAAGCCATTCTGTTCTTAGTTTTGACTCTTAGTTTGAATCTCAATTTCCAACCCAGGCAGGAAGTAAAGTCTGTCCCATAATCCCATAACAAGTTACATCACAATTTTTAATCAATACTCACTTTGACTTTCAATTAATTAGTGATTCACTGCCAAACATTGTTCAATGATAAAAATTCCATATTTATTGTGCCCAAGAAGAACTGACAGATTTGCAGACTCAGTTCACTGGGGCAATGTTTTCAAAGTAGGGTACAATTTGTATAAGAATAATAAAGTTCAAGAAATATTTAGAGCACATGTATACTTACATGTACCTATGACAAGGTTTTCTAAAGATTTTATTTTCTGTGGAAACTTTATTAATATGGGAAGAAAAGGTTATACTATCATACATAATTATAAATATTTCTGAGTAAATTAGAGTTTTAAGAATGCCTTGTGACATTAATAATTTAGTACTGTGACTAAATCCCAAGGATAGAAGTATATAGAGTTTTCTAAATCCAATATGATAAATAATCCATTGGAAAAGTTTTATAAAGTTATTATTCTATAGAAAACTATTCTGAAATATTGACTTTGTGAGAAGAACCTTTAAAGGGAAAAAGATTTCAAAACACATTTGAATAAAAAGAATAGAATATGATTTATAATACACTTTATTCATAAAAATTAAAGGTCAAATGCACAAAACACTACCAAAATATGTGCATATTTAATGTTATATATCAAGTCTTAGAAAGGTGCTTGTACGGTAAAAAGGACATGAAGATAAGCAATATCAATGAGGGGAAACTTCCACTAATTCAAAAAGCTTTAGAGACTGTAGTTCAACATTATTAAATTGTACTGGTTGAACACACTATCAAAAAACCACACTTTGAAAGAGTTGTTAGAGTGGTGAGGATGCAAAGAAATATATTTACCTAATTACAAAAGAATTTTCAGAAGAAAAGTGCCTCTTATGCCTAGGGGAAGCAGCTTAAACTTACGTAAATTTACATGTCTATGCATTCAATGTCAAAAGGAGAAATATCCAAAACCTCATTTCCAGAGTCATGTATTTAAACAGCTGAATTTCTCCATTCAAGGTGGCAGTCATATCTGTTGGGGAGAATACTAACGTTATCCCAATTAAAAGAAAAAAAATATTATTCAAAGGAAAACAGCTCAATCCCTCTAGCTCTTGTGCATTTGTTCACAATGCTTTTCCCAGATGGACATGTGACAGAGAAAAAAAATTAAGACATATCACATATCTACAGCATTATTTTTTTACTCTATGTAGGCATTCTCTCCTACCCAGAGCCTGACTACCACTAATATATTTCATTTACTATAAATTGGTTATGCAAAATCTAGAATTTCATATATATTATAGTACTTTGGTTATTAATCTGTAGTTTATTTTTATTTCCTAGGTATAGACTGTGTTGTACATGATTTGTATATACAATGAGCTGTTTAGATTATAACTAGTTTTGGAATAAGTATGAATAAAGCTACTATGAATATTTCTGTACAAATCTAATGTACATAGAGATTATAACTTCCCTGGACAAATGCATTGTACTGAAATAGTTTAGCCCTATGATGTGTTTATACTTAACCTCGTGAGAAACTGTCCAATTGCGTCCCAAAGTGGTTGTGTTATTTTAAATTTCCATCAGCAATGTCTGATTTTCTAGATACATTACAGTATAACCAAAACTTGATATTGTTTTCTTTTAACCAGTCAAGCAAGTTGAACTGGTATTTCATGGATTTTATTTTGTATTTTATGATGGCTAACTATGTTAAGTATCTTTTATGAAATAGTCTGTCATTAATTTCTTAAGTGAACTATCATTTCAAATATTTTGTCAATTTTCAATTGAGTGCATTTATTTGTTCTGATTGCTGCAATAGTTTATTGGTTTGGATATAAAACTGTGATAAACATATATCAAAATGTTTATATATTGATATAATAATACAGTACCATTACACATTGATAAACATATATCACATCAAATACATACACACAATACTTTCTCACACTTAAGGTTTAAATTTCATTTTCTTAAATATGTTGTTCAAAGAACAGAAGCATTTTACTTTGATAAAATTTAATTTATAATACCTTGGTATTTTTAAAGGTAACACTGGTTTACAACACTGTATGTGATTCATATGTATATCACCATCTCACACCACATCCAACACCAAGACACAAATAGTCCCCACCATCCACTGGGCCCCCCTTCCACAATTTGCTCTACACCCACCCACCCCTTGTCTGGTAGGCTTAATTTTACAGACAGATTTCTAGAGTTTGTTGTTGTTTTAGTTTAGTCTGAAGCTTTGGTTTGTTTCTCTATATTCTACAAATAAGTGAAACCATCTGATATTTATCATTTTTCTTCTGATTTAATTAGCATTATCTGCTCTAGTTGCATCCATGTTGTCACCAATGGCAAGAGTTCATCTATTTTTATTGCTGAGTAGTATTTCACTGTGTCTATATGCTACATCTTCCTAATCCACTCATCTATCCTTGGGCGCTTAGGTGTCATTGGCTATTTAAATATTGCAATGAATATATGGGTACATATATCCCTTTAAATTAGTATTTTTGCATTCTTTGGACAGATGCATTAGGAGTAGAATTAAGGATCATTTGGTAGGTTTGTTTTCAATGTTTTGAAAACCATCCACACTATTTTCCTAAGAGCTGGGCCAGTCTACATTTCCACCAACAGCGAAAGACTGTTCCTTTTTACCACTTCATTACCAACATTTGTTTCTGGACTTTTTGAAATGAACCATTCTCATATGTTTGAGAAAGATATGTCACTGAGGTTTTGCATCCCCTGAGAATAAGTAATAATAAGCAATTTTTCCCCATATCCCTGTTGACTACCTGTGTGCCTTCTTTGGAGAAGAGTCTAAGTATTCTGCTCATTTTTTGATTAGTTTGCTTTCTTTTTCAATATTTGCCCCTTGTTGGATATATATAATGTGCAAATATTTTTCCCATTTAGTAGCCCCTTTCTTTAAAGTTCATCTGCTATATTATAGCACAGTAGGCACTACTCCACCTTTATTTGATTACAATATTCCATAGAATAAAATAACACTATATATGACTATTTTAATATCACTTTTATGGTTTAAAAATAAAAAATGCTAAATTTCCCTATATTTTACTTCATATTACTTATAGCACTTCTGCTATTTTGTCATTTTCAGCACTCAGCTTTGAATGTACCTAAATAATTCCAGCTTCTCTGAAACAGAAAGAAGTATAGTGTCCCATCCTTTAATATATGTTATCATACCTTATCTACCACCAAGTCATCCACAGTCCTCCACAATCCATATTAAATGAAATCTGTGCTAAAATTATGAATTTGTTTGTAAAGTGCATTATTTTCACATAGAAAATGTGAAAAATATTTTCATATTTTCACTATTTATTTTTAGTTTTCTTATTTTTTGGTTTTTTACCTTCTTTCTCCTTTACTTACAAAGCAATAATAGCTTTCAACTCAAATCCTCTCTACTCACTTTGCAGTTCTTGATTATTCTACATAATACGTTATGCATTCTAGGGTGAAGCCCAAACATGTAAATAAATGCTAAAACTTTGTAAGAAAAAGAATTATCTGATCTTCTTTCAATATATATTTGTGAGAAATATGCTTATTTTTCACTTTTCTGATCCTCATTGGACAACAACCTGTGTTTTTATATTGCAAGCTTAGAGATCAAATCTCAATTTGATTTCGACTTTTGTGTTAGCATATTGTTATTCTCTGTTCCCTTTCTGTAATCTCAAAGTAATTAACACTATATATGAATATGTGAACACCGTTTTTATGTTGTTTCAAAACAAAAAAATGCTAAATTTTCCCATATTTTTCTTCACATTTCTTACAGTGCTTTTGTTTTTTTGTCATATCCAGCACTCACCTTTGAATGTACTGAAATAAAACCAACTTCTCTGAAATGGAGAATTTCAACAAACTGAAACTTAGAACTACTTTACATGATTCTGGCAAGTTGTCTTGTTCATTCTTATTTATAGATCTTAGAAAATAACAACTATGCTTGATTTTGAACATAGAAAATACCAAAATGTTATGTTATCCTTTTGGAGAAATTCCAAGTAAACACTGTATTTTTTTTTATCATAACAGAGGATTTTTAACATTTTCTTAGAGAAATTTGTTCTAGAAACACATGAGTTCTTCTTGATAGATGGGACCAATTAAAAACAAAACTGTAGAAAAAGAAATGAATATATGATGTAATAGAGATGCTAACCATGGCCACAGTGGCTATCACATACAGTAGACATGTGGATCAAATCAAAATGCTGTACACTTTAAATTTACACAATGATACATAATGAATGTATCTAAAAATATTTTAAAAATTATAATGATTGCTAAATAAATGACACAAGAGGTCATCTTGTCTTCCCAATCATTTTCCACCTAAGGTATCACTCACATGCAATTATTCACTAAGAAGCCAAGGATGGCCATTAGTAAGGCCACATCCTAACTGATCTCCACATGCTTCCTCTAATACTTGAAATAACCAACTTGTCATCTATCCCATTTTTTATTATTACATGTAATGTTCCTACTAGCCAAGACTATTTTAATTATATTGGTTGTGATATAAAACTACCTAAATTGTTTATATCCTAAACCTTTTGAGAGAAGACAGAAATCTGCCTCCTCTATGGATGCTTATGCTTAGGAATTTTTTATTTATAGGGATCCAACACAGTTGGAAGTATGATCATGTCTTTTTTCATCAACAGTTATCAATTTATTTTAAAAATGTTACTTAAAAGTAATGGAACTTAAAAGTAAGGTAAAATAAGATGTCTGGGCTGCATTGGAGATTTAAATGATGAAATGCATTTTTCTTAAGAAACCTTTCAGCATAATATTAATTATGATTTTTCAGAAGGATACAGCACTCTACTTTAACCATTTCCACATTCCCTAATGGTAGAGAAAAGAAGGAATTTGGAATTTAGCCATGTTCATTTTAACTAATGGGTCATGTTTGATAAAATTTTTGACATGCAAAGAAAAAATAATCTAATTCCCAAGTCAAGTCATTGTGTATTTAACATCTTGTTTAGCTAATGAAATTATCTTACTCTGGAAAATATCTTTCTGAATTGTACATGCAAGTAACAGTATTAAATTTTTTTCTGTCTCACAGCATACTGCCTAGACACTAATACTGAGAATAAGCAGGGAGGATATTAAAAATGTAATGGTTTATATTTAATAACTAGAGACTGTATGGGGCATTCCCTTATTAAATATTTGCCATCTGCTAGAAAACCAGATGGCCAAGTTGTTCTTTGATAACATGGTTCAGAGTATTGTATTTGCTCTTATATAAACACAGTTTTTTAAAACATAAAGAAAAGCCTTTATATAGACAGTTTCTTTACCACGATTTTAAACACTGAATTTTAATCTTTTAGAAGTTATGCTTACTATGGTCAGTTCCATAATTTGTTTTCTTCAAAAAGCTACAAGTTATTTGAGTAGAAACTACTGAGCCAATGTATTAATGATTGCAGCAGTTAGGTTAATTGGAATCATCTAAGGACTTTGCTAAATGGTGAATACTCAGATGTTATCATAAATTTGCTGAATTTATGAGACCCAGGGAAATGTGCCTATTGGCCCCATCAATTCAATGTAGAAAGGCAAATTTTTTCTCTTCCATTTATCACTAAGATCAATGAATATTAAGGATACCAAATGTCAAGCCAGTCTGAGGATATGATAGGCATGATTCATATATTTTAAAAAGATTATTATTTACTTTGCCCACATAGAAAAAAATTAACTCTTTTTAAAATTTTGGGTGATGTAAATAGTTGCACTCTTTTGTTTAGTAATTTTGAATTTTCTACTAAGTGATAAACTTTTGTAAACCTATACAAATCAAAATTAAAATGTAATAAAATTTGGCCAGATTATGGTAGAATTCATAATGTCACAGTTAGGGAGGAATACAAATCCAAATTTAAAAACTATTTTTTTACAGAAATATAAATATTTTATTAGAATTATACAAAAACTGAAAAATAGATAGCAAGTGAGAAATCATGAATAATTCATTGTCTTAGAAATTATTTTATGACTACCTTACCTTTTTTAATCTTCTAAAATTACTGTCCTGACTTTTCCATTGATAATAATAGTAAGATTGTGTAAAACAACATATTTCATGTTGTGTGTAACTTGAATTTTACATATTTTAAATTTTAGTATAAATAAAAATAAAATTGTTCTCAAATAATATATTTAAAATTTCATCAGAGCTATAACTTTTTCAATTTGGTTCTAGTTCATTTTTTCATTGTGGTTACATTATTATTATTATATATCCCTCTTTCCTAGTATTAATTCAGAAACAGGATTAATAAATTGTCACAATCTTTAATATTTTAAGAAAAATCAACAATCATTTGTGCAGCATACTATGGGTAAAAAAAAAAGTTGTCTTGATTCATTTTCCTATTTACATGAGAAATAAAGATTTATTTATTTACGCATATAAGAACTGGGGTACAGGCCAAAGGTTCAGGGGGTTAGAGGATTCACCAGAGATACAGTGGGGAGCAGAATAGGCAGACTGACTGAAATACACTGTTGAGGGGAGCAGCGGGCAAGACACAGGTCTTCTGCGCCATGTGGGTCACCTCATGGCCGGGGATCGAACTTGTGCTGCAGTAGCTGAGAATTACTTCATAGTGCTGATGCTTAACCCCTTGTGCCACCAAGGAGGCCCCTTAAATGAGAAGTAATTCATAATCTAGTGCTAAACACAGTATCACTATTGTAACTCTACAGCTCACAATTTATTTCCCCAAGAATATACCTATAATTTGACATGACACCATAAAACAACATAAAACACTTATATGTGTCCATGAGTGTTGATGAGTCCCCAAATGAAAGCAGTAAAAGAGAGTGGATGACAGTACTTTTTGGATCATACTGTCTGGCTTCACCTCTCACCAATGGTGTGTCATTTAAGATAGCGTATCTTTGTACCTCAGATTTCTCATATACATATGAATGATTACAAGTTAAAATTATAAAATACATGCAAAGAAAGTGATTAGAAAACATCTCTTTAACATCTTAACCCACAAATAAATATAAACCAGTAGATACTATACAATTAGTAGACTTTGCTTGTCTGGTCCTGGTGGAGAGAATAAATCCCTTGCTACAAAAATCAAAATAAATGGACACCTATAGTGTAAGTCATTCATATTAGTGAAGGAAAAATAAAGCTTAAATTCACTGACTGATTCTGCTGAGACCTCTAAAAATGCCTTCTACCAGGGTCACATTTGTTGTTCCTGAGTCTGAGCTACTTTGACCTCTCCTGGCTTCTTATAATAGGCGATTTTACAGTATAGATAACTTTTTTGTGTGTTAACTTTAATTAAATTGAGCAGTTTTGAGAGCTTATGGTGACACCACTATGAATAGTGTTTGCAACATTTCCACACAAGCTGTATAACTGTAAATGTGAGGCAAAAGCTATCAGTAATGTGATCAGATATATAAAATTACCTTTAATATGAAAATGTGAATTAATATGACAACCTATTATTTGGGCTTGTTGTTGAATAAATTAAAAAAGTCCACAGTGTGGGATATGCTGATGATTGTGCAGGCTCATTCCTGGAATTTTAAATGATGCACCATCATGCCAAGGGTAGTTCATTTCATACTATTCATCAAAAAGCTATTGCCTAGAATATAAGCTCTGACCCCCTCTTCCTTCAACGAAAAATCTACCTGTGCCAACTCCTACATTAAGAATATGAATTATGTGACAGCAGCAGTAGTTATGTTCAAGTGGATGCCTATTCTGGCAAGCACTTTACATCAACCTGGATCTGCCTGACATAAGAGTAGGCATATTTATATTCTTTTTGTTGAATACTGATAATGTAATATTTATTGTCTGGAAGACATACCTCTATTCTTTTGTACATTGTATTTATTAATTACATTTGCATGCAGAGAAGGGTGAAAAGATTGATGAAAGCGGTTGATTCCTGTCTGAACACGCTGATCCATATACTTCTCATATTGCTTTATTTGGTAAAGCCTCACCTACATTTGCTCCTAACATCTTAAATCTTATCTAAAGCATTTTGGGTTAATGAAAAAAAACCAACTCATTTTTATACTTTTTTACTATAATATCTTCCCAGATTTACACCCTGTAATACCAATGCAAAATACATGTATTTCTTTGTTCTTATTGTTGGCAAGCAGACTGAGGGGCACCCTGGGACACCCAGACTTGGATGCTTTAACAAGTATATTCTTAGTGTATGAGATATTTAAGATATGTAAGTATTTTCTTAGTGTGTAAGATCTTTAATAGCATAATTGTGCATAGAAAGAGAAGAAGAGATAGGATGGGTAACACCCAGTTACCCATCCTCTAGAGGGTAAATGCCCAGCCAAACAGGGTTGACCAAAGCAGGTCTACTCAGGCATGAAAGGTTGCTAAAAGTCTAAGGCACCTTCTGGCAGGGAACTATAGGAAAGGGAAAAGGGAACAGGCAAGTCTGGGGCAAAAGGAACAAAATCAAAGTATGAATCAAGGTAATAACTGCCATTATCAGCCTCCCCACGTCTCTCACCCACACCTCTTCCAAGCATGTGTACGTGTCTCGACTCCATGTGTTTCTTCCATGTCCCTCAAGTACCTGGCACAGAAGTGGGACTGCTTTTCACCTGTCTCTCCTCCTGTGTCTCCTTCAGTGTTCTAGATCTTCACTTGATCAGGGAATCTGGAACCTTCTCCATGTGGGTCAGGGAGTCTGGAACCTCCTCCTTTTATGAGGATTCCTCTATTACATTACCTGTATGTTTACCATACTTTTTAAACTAAAAGCTGAGGAATGAATAAGGTGAAATGTTTTTAATCAGGCTTAAAAAAAAAAAAAAACAAATGCCCTATATGCTATACCTGCTTAGTTTTGTGAACTTAGAGAAATAGTGGATGTTTTAAGATTTTCATTTTGTTAAGTGGGTTGTTAATGTAAAGTATATGGTTACTTTACACATTTTCACTTACATCCAGTGTGTAAAATCCGCAGTGATTTACATAAACTACTAAAATCTGTAAATGCACAGGCATTTTGTACCTCAGCATTTCTAAAACTATGTTTTACTGTCCCTAGTTCTTGATGCGTAATTAGTTTCTATGTAAAACCAAAAGCCAAGGTCAAAGATGATGGGTAAATGTTGAGCTGTAAACAAAGTTTAACAGTTTTCATTATTTTAAAACTATCCATAACAATTAACTTGCATTGTGAAAAACTAAGAGAAAAATAGCCAAGTAGGGCTCTTAAATTTATTGAACAATTATTTGTTTCTTTTTCTAACCAGATTAACAGCCTACTTAAAAGTAAGTCTTAAATATACTTTTACACCAATTGTACCTTTCAGGAGGGTTATTTTTATAGTTTAGGTTAATTGAAAATGGTTTAAAAATTAGTATTTTTTGTTTGATGTTAAACTTTAAATTCTAATATAAAATGTACCTATGACCAGCACATCTTGCAATGCAGTGCTTTCAGCAAAAATATAAATCACACAGAGTTAATTGTTTAGATATGTCATTTCATTTTTTTTAATGTAGATTTTGGATTCAGATATTTGAGAAACAGTTTTTCTAGAGGGTGTTTTTAGATAGTATGATCTGCTTTCTTTTATATTTGTTACATACCTTTTCCTAGACTTTTCCTAAATCATGAAATCAAAAGTCATAGTTCTGCCATAGGTAAGCACAATCTCTTTTTTTTGCCTTTATTATTCTTATTTTCATACATCTTAGGATATTATAAAATTTCAGTACAAATGCAATAGTTGTAAACAGATTGTGAGTAAACAGCTTGTGCATAAATAGGATGTGATTTTTGGTAAGCATAAATTTCAAGTAGCAGGTGTAGATGCCTGCAGGTATAGACCTAGTAAACTTACAAACTGAAGGCTTAGTGTGCAATAGACATAGCACATAATATTCTACAGTAAAATAGACATTGGGTAATCTTCAAGTCCAGTAACTAGAAGTCTAGAGAGAATCTCCAATATATTAGTTCAGTGTTTTGCCCAGTAACACAGGTATATAATGTTAAATATTAGTTAAGTAACAAAGAATCTAAATATCAGTAAGAAATGGGCAGGTACATTACTTTTCAGGGTATATTATATAAAGGCAGAGTCATCTGATAACAAACTACAGGGACTGAAGGTAGTGTTTGACACTCATTAGACAATTAGTATCTGCTGAGACTGAATGATTGAAAGCTTTATTTAATATTGATAATTTATGAATTTTATTAATATAATGGAGAGATGCTAATCATCTTCAATGTCTATATTCCCTGATCTAACTATCCTACAGGAAGGAATTTAGAGGTGAATTCAAATAAGTGCCATTATCAAACTGGGGGAACATGAACATGGATCTACCCCAAGGTTTTATAAGGGAGCAAAAAATTGCCTCCCAAAGTGTTTTAGGAAAAGGTTGATTTCAGGGGAAAGGTTCCCAAGGCTGGGTAGAGGTTGGTTCTGTAAAGATACTTCTTGTAAACTTATCTCTGAAGGGTGTCTCACTCACAGAACTGTTTAGACCTGATTTCCTCCAGTTTTTTCAATGGAGAAAGTGGAACGTAAATCTGCATACCATTATTTATCACACTTTTCTTGATAAACTCCCTACTGACCTATTTTTTTTCCCACAACTTCACTTACCTTAGCTGTTTAAGATGGCATCTGAAGCCATCTGGCTAATCACATAGTCTTTCTGAGATTGGCACATGTATACAAGATGTATACATGTCATTATTAAACTTCTTTTTCACTTTTTCTCTTACCAAGAAGTCTGATCCTTATTAGACTGTTTGCCAGCCTGGAATAACTCAAAAGGGTATGGGATGATATCCTTTGTACCCTGACCATATCAAATATTTGGGGAAGCCCACTCCAATCTAGGCTACCTTAAAAAGTAGTATCAGTGTGTAAATTGTAACTTTGTTGAAGATCTGGGAAAATAATAAGTTGGTTTGTGAAAAGGCATGCTGAAATAGCTCCATAATAGTTTGAAAAATTTATATATATTTTTTCTTTTATGGAGGTAGCATTGGCTTACAACACTGTGTATGATTCAGAGGTACAGGAAAATACCCATAGATGTATGTTGTCCACAGATACCCACCACTAAAGCACACATCAATAAAACCAAGGCCCTGTTGATGGGTAAATTATTCATTATTCAACAAGAAATAGGAAGTTCAGGCCTCCCTCATGGTGCAAGGGGTTAAGCACAGCACTAGGAAGAAATCCGCAGCCACTGCAGTGCAAGTTCAGTGCCCAGCTGGCCAGGGAGCAACCTACATGGCGCTGCAGACCTCTCCTGTCTCATCTGCTGCTCCCCTCAGCAGTTATTTCAGTCAGTCTGCCTGTTCTGTACCCCACTCTGTCTCTGGTAAATCCTCTCAACCCCTACCACCCCCTTGCATCTCTGGCCTGTACCTCAGTTCTTACATGCATAAATAATCTTTAAAAAAAAAGAAATAGGGAGTTCATAACAAGAAGACTGAAAGATTCTAAACATAAGGTCAACAGTTGATGACTAAAAATTAAGGACAACATGAGAGCTACATTCAGTTTGAGAAAGCTTGAGATACCATCTTTAGGAGCTGTTTTTCTTGGTAATTCTATTGAAATAGTGGGGATCGACAACTGCAGTAAGCCCTGGTCTATCCAAACGCATAGCTCGTTGATCTGCTTGTCTGACACATCTATTCTAAACTATTGATAACTTCAAATAATCCATTCTTACTGAGATCCCATCCTAATGTCTTTACATTAAAAAATAATCTCTCAAACAAGGGACAAAATTGAAACTGCACGTATATAATCTTGTGATTCAGAACTGAATTTTAAATGTCTCTTTTCCTAACTATCTACACCTGATTTAAAATAAATTCTTTATATTGCACTTCCCCATCTCTTTTAACATTCAGTAACAATAAAGCAAACTGAGTACCACACTTAGGTGAAGCAGTGGAATCAGAAGGTGAAGTGGTTGCCTAGCAACCTCACCTGTGAGTAATTAGGCATGTCTTGCAAATTGCTGGATTTGGCTTTAAATTCTTGGCCTTGGAACAAATAGCTATTTGGACTAGTTGGACTCTGCTTAACTGTTTCATTAGAGATTATAGTGTCCGAGATGGGCAATGAGGTAAGAGGATCTTATCATTTGTTTCTTCATGGGGCACATGTCTCATTCTCTGCCTTACAGTCAGTCTAAGGCACCTACCAGGATAATTATAGAAGACAGTGATTGTCAGAGATGAAAAACTATGTTCCCTCTCAGTGATCCACCATTCGGCACTGGTTTTCAACTCCTAACCAGCTTTTGTCTTATTCTACCCTAGGTCAGTACTAAAAATACATGCAATAATTCAGCTCAGGTACTCTGATAACATGGCAAGCCATATATACATGAATAAGGTGGGTTTAAATACTTAAAGAATGTTTTAAGCTCAGTCAATTTTTCTTCCAAATGTGAAGAACTTACAAATCATTTCAAGCTACTAACAGCAAGCTTATTATGTGGAATGTCATCCCATTTTAATGACCTTTCAATAATTATGCTCTCAACTTCTGAAGACTCCTATCCCAAAGAAGAAAATAGGGCAACTATGATTAATACTGATTTGCATAGATGACTTGCTGGGACAGTGGGTCTTGAAAGTTCTTATCACAGGAAAGAAATTGTAACTATGTGAGGTGATGGAACTGAACTTATTGTGGTGATCTTCTTCAATATATACAAATAGCAAATCACTGTATCGTACAGTTTAAATGTATACAGTGTTATATGTCAATTATAAAGAAGAATATTTCTATTAAAGATCATTCTCTGAAATGTATAATGAGAACAAGGGCTTTAGGATGTTCTCAATTAATTAAGATGATTAAATTAGGTTTACAAAACTATATTTAATTTGTACGCCTTAAAATATATCAAAAACTCAACTTTGGGACTTAAATAATATCAATGTGAGAAACAATAATAAAAAACCCAAGCTTAATTTATAATGACAATAATTTCATAGTTAAAACAACAATGATATAAAGATTAAAATAATTCAACAGTTTCATGAGATAAGGAACAAAAAAATGTGAAGGTAATGGTGGAGCTACAAATCCTATAAGAGGAGCCTGTAAGACAGATATTTAGACTATCTTTTTTATAGAATAATATTCCATACAATAAATGATGAGGACATATCAATCTACAGGGATCAAATTCTCCTGTTATCGACAGTTTAGAAAAGGTAAATAAAATACTTAGAGAAAAATCATGGAGAAAGTAATTTCCAATTGTAATATGTGGGAATATACTCATTTATAAAAAGAGAGACAATGATTTTTTTGGAGACACAAGATGAATAAGGTGAAGTATATATATTAGAAAGATGCAGTTATATGAATTGTTAGTATGCAGTAAATCTTGGAAAGTTTTGTGATCAAGTGAGTCAGAAAGGGTTGAAAAGCAATGAAATAATATCATCATTTTTAGAAGCAGCAGCCTGTCTCTAAGTTGTCAGTGTCAGCAATAGGTGTGTTACCATGGAAACCAATAAAGCTTAATGGTAACTTGATTATTTACAAAAGATTCTTGGTCGTTTCTATGACACGTATCTCTTGGCAGTTACCCAGAAATCTCAAACATTTTAAATCTTGA